CCTCTTTAAAGGGGAGGTAGCATCTCGTGCCTCTCCCTAAGTTGTACTATCTTTGGCTTTGATTTAATAAATCTGAATACTCACTGATAAAAAAAAGGGATTAGGGTGTAAGAGAGGATTAGCATTCGAAAATATCTCTTCGAACCCTTATTGTTGTCAGCTTCTTCTTCCTCTTCTCTCTTCTTGATTCTCTGTTTTTGTTGTTCTCTATTGGTTTTCTGCACTATTTTAATCAATTTGTTTATTTCAGTAGGTTGTTTTTCTTCTGGTTCTTATGCAAAACATCTAGTTTAGCCATCATAGCATCCCTCCATTTAGGTTTGGACAAGTCTTCTGGTATAAACCTGGGAATCACATGGGTAGAAATAGAGGTAAGAAAAGAATAATAGGTAGGGAACAGAAGACTATAAGACAAGTGTTTAGAGATACAATGTGTTGTACATTTCCGCTTGCCTTTGTGAAAGGCAATAAGAAGGTCAAGGTCTAGGAAGGTAGCAAATGGTTCAGAGGAAGGCTGAACTGTTACCTGAGTAGTGATGTGAGGGACAAGAGGCTCTATTGAAGGAGTAGAAACAACTCGCCCATGCCTGAATCTTTGTCTTTGGTACCACCTTTGGACAATAGGGTGTGAGGGAAAAATAGGAGATTAAGCTGGAGGAAAGGGAGTAGGAAGATGTGAGGTAGACACAATGGAAGGAAGACATTAGGAGAAGAGGACTCAACAGAAGACTCACAAGGAATTGGAAGAGGAACAACTGGAGACATAGCAAATGGTTCATCAGAATGCTCCCCCTTAGGAAAAATACCAAAGAAAGTAATAGACTCAGCAAATGTGACATCCCTTGAAACAAAGTAAGGGCCACGAACTGGACCAAAACAACAATATCCCTTTTGTGTGGAGGCATATCCCAAGAAGACACACTTATGTGCTTTAGGCTCAAATTTATGTCTCTGATGATTATGAACATGCACATAGCAAGTGCACCCAAAGACTCAGAGAGGAAGGGAAAAGAGATCCTCATCCGGAAAGAGAAGGCTAAACAGGGTTTTGAAATTTGGAACCCAAGAGGGCATAAGGTTAATCAAATACGTAGCAGTAAGGACAACATCCCCCTAAAATTTAATAGGAACATGAGATGCAAAAAGGAGGCATCTAGCAACCTCAACCACATGGCGGTTCTTCCTTTCTGCCACTCTATTCTGTAGAAGAGTGTAGGACAAGAACTTTGATGAATAACTCCAAAAGTCTCAAAGTAGGACGAAAGGTTCTTCTCAATATATTCCTTAGCATTACCAGACCAAAATATTTTGATCCGAATGTTAAAATGGGTAAGAACATGTTCATGAAACTTTTGCACAATAGTTGGTACTTCATCCCAGGATTTCAGGAGGTAAATCCAAGTATAATGAAAATAATCATCAATAAAGAAGACAAAATACTTGTAACCCCCCACACACCAGATTGCACGATATGAAAAGGAGAAATAGATCTTTTATTGCTTACTGAATAAGAATGTCAACAATGCTTCGCAAGCTCACAAGATTCACAATGAAGACTCGATAAAGACACTCCCTTAAACATATCGGGAAACAACTGACTTAAAGCAGAAAAAGGTAAATGACCAAACTGAAAATGACATAACATGACTCTATCAATATACTCTAACAAGACAGACTCCAAGGCTACTCCGTTAGGTGGTCCAAGATTTCTATCAGGTGTGTCCAGCAAGTATATTCCATTCGTCTCATGGTCACTCCCAATCTTCCTCCGAGATTTCAGGTCCTAAAAAACACAATGGGTAGGAAAAAAGGTTATGCTACAGTTCATGGATTTAGTCAAGCTACTAACAGATAAAAGGTTGGTATTAAGTTTGGGGACATGAAGAGCAAAGGGTAAGACAAGAGTGTTAGAGGCCTTAATATCTCCTTTGCTAGAGATGGGAGAAAGAGACCCATCAGCAAGGGATATCTTCTCTCTACCAAAGAGGATCTGATATGTACAAAAGAGGTTAGATAAACTAGTCATATGGTCTAATGCACCAGAATCAATAATCCAAGGGGTTTTATGATTACTTGAATCAGTAGCATGATTTGTAGAAGCACGAGTACCTAAGTGAGCAAATGTGGATGATGAGGTGTTGCCTGAAGGGTTGGATGCTAAAAAAGTGATCTCCAAGTGATTTAAGTAACCT